ATTGTATAGCAAATCCAAGTGCTCTGGAGATTGGCTCAGAAATTAAGACTGGTTGTATTTTTGTTTTCTCCAAACCACTGTCTTTTCTTATTTAGAAGGTAAAAGGAGTAGCATTACACTGTGGTAAGACATGCAAAATGTGATTTCAATATCTTTCCTTGTTCTCATTATGATGTAAAGTTGGCCAAAAAAGTATTGATAAATCTTTCGTTATTTTATAGTTAAAACTAATAGTAACCTTCTACATCTCCGACTCCCCTTTGAAGTACAATTTACTATCAAAATTAAATAAATAGATTGGAAATCTACTATTTTGTCTCCTTGACCAGTACATTAAACATCCTGTCCATAATTTTATCACATCCATACTGTGCAGATGTTGAGTTAATTACTTGTCCACTAGCTATGTTGATGCAGATCATTAATATTGTTGTAGGGTTTAACGCCATTTATCAGCACAAGATAGGCTATATATGGCAGCCAGTATAAATGGAGTAAGAACCTGGGAAAACCCCTGAAAGAACCACCTACCCATGAGAAGCTACTGGCAAGCTTTCTCACATACCCACATTAGCCAAACAGAAGACTCAAACCCACGCAGACAGATGTGAGATGACAATAATCCTTAACAGTGAGTGCTTTAGACCACTCCGCAATTAGGGGTCACACACACACACACACAACAATACTTGATTTACTTTCTACCTGTGCCTAGTTGTTTAACTCCAATAACATATGCCAAAGGCAGCCAACTTTTCTCTTTTTACAGAGGCACAAACTTGACATTAAAATAGGTTCTGATCGTGACAATATCATGTTAAGATTGAAGACAAGTTAAAACCATTTAATATCAAGTTTGGTGATAAAAGTGCTTGATGTCGAATAATATGAAGTCTTTAAAATTTGTTCTCTGAGACCTTCATAAATGGATCTTTTAAAAAAAAGTATTAATTTTTCATAACTGTAAAACATTTTTAGACAAAATCTATATTAAAAAAACTTTTCCCAAAGAAAACTTTCTTCCATGCCATCATGTGTACAATTAATCACAGTATAGTTTATTCTGCAAATTAAAGTGGTACATGCAAATTTATATGAATTTCAACTGTTATGCATATTTCTACTCTTTGGTCGTGTAAAAGCTCTATACAGCCATAATTAGAATCAGTTTTAATTTAAAAAATGCATGTTTTCTAAACGCAAATTTATTATAAATAAGACCTGGAAATTTTGTTTTAAACAGTGTGGACAACACATTGAAGCTGAGTCAGGTAATTACAGAACGTGTGTGTAACAATGTAAATGGAAGAAACAATTCGTTTATATGATCTGTTTTTTTATTATAAACCTCTTTCGTCAGTAAATGTACTTTTGACTAAACATTTAAAATGAGTACAAATTAAATGTAATTTGCACTTCAGTTTTTTTTTGTATGTCAAAAGACAGATCGTATACAAATTCGATAAAAGTTAACAAAGTCTGCATTTTTAAAAAAAATTTCAGTGACAAATTGTAGGTTTATTAGTAAATGAAGTTTACAAAAAATAATTAGCATTATATATATATATATATATATATATATATATATATATATATATATATATATATATATATATATATATATATATATATGCAATAAACTGTGACAAACAGTGCAAAACAAGTAACTAATTAGTTACTAGTTTTGCACCATGTGTTGTCAGTTATTGCATCTATATCAATCAATTCCTGACAGTGATCCCTTGCTATATGATTTGTATTCTATATACAAGCACAGTCTAACCTGGCTGAAATGAATACATTTTTATTTTATGCTAGACCGTAATTTACAGGATTATTTTCGAGGAGACAGGAGTGGAATATTAGGGATATGATTTCATTAAAGACTAGAATAATACTATGAAGATGAAATCTAAGTTGGATACTTGCTTCGTAGATTGGACGATCCAAGTTCGTAAATCCTATTATGTGAACATACTTTTTTCCTTCAATTTATCTGTGCGCTGTTTTACCTTGAATTGGGAAGGAGAATTATGTTGAAACTTATATTTTCTGCAATAAAATGCTCAAAACAGGACTGAATATAAATGGTGGACTGATGTCGCACGAAATACATTACAAAATCTTCAAGACCGTACATTGGGGCATAAGATAAAAATAAAATCTGTTTGCACCGAATGGTGAATATATGTCATCCTCGTGGATGAAAATCTTTAGTATTCTCACACACTCGATTATTTATTCGAAGCAAGCAAATACATTCAAAATAATATTAAAATATTCATTACAGGGAAGCAAAAATATATTGCAACCTAGTTTACTTACTTTAACCACTTTCTGAGCAGCACCAAACTTGTTTAGCATACTGATACACAAAAAATATTCAGCTCAACCTATCATTTTCATCAGTTCACATGCAGTGATTATTTCTTTTACTTTGAGTGACTACTGTTGTTATAGCAAGTGTTATTCTAGAAGAGAATGGCTTTCATTTAATTTGTTTTTTTTATTATGTTCTTGGTAATATTTTTTGCCAGTTCCACCTTCAATGTCTCCTCCATCATTACCAGTATATGATGATTTGAAAATGAAACGGAAGAGAGACTTTCCTTTCAACTTCCGAAAAGACGGAGATTTGCTTAACAACAAAAGAGGAAAAGAGAAAGCAGCAAGAGCAGAGGAAAGGGGACACCCATTAATTATGTCAATAATTTTTAGGCAATTATTTTACACACACACACCCTTGTCAAGAACTGTCAAACTTTCTGTGATCCCCCACCCCAATAAAATTGTCACTTTTTTTACATCCACTTCCCAAATATTTTATACGGCTGGCTTTTATGCTAAAAATAGAATTATGGAAATTAAAAGGAGCATCAGAAAGGGTGAAAAGACCGTTTGTCTGAGATCTGATTTATATAAAAGAAAAATAAACCTTTCTGCAAAAACGGTAGATAACATTAAACCAAAACCTCTAACCCTGACTCTAGATATTGATTTTATCACCGATATTGATGAAGCCCCATTTGTAGATGACTTAGATGGATTCATTAATAATCTCATAGTATATGATGATGTGAAGCTAGACAAACGAAAAAATCCAGCTAGAGTAAATTGTCTCTCGGATTATTATTCGAATATTGTCATAACATTATTGTGTTACAGCTTGCACAATGATTATTCTGTCGTTATTTTAGGGTTATAATAAATTCAGTCTCAATATCAGTCACTCTTTTTTATTTTTGGACACATTGCTTATAACCTGTTAATTTTTGTCTTTATTAAAGCAGGGTGGTTAGTGGTTTACTCAGTTATCACGTAATCTATAATAACCATATGTAGTTGAGTTATTCTTCTGACACGAGATACTGTATGACAGACTAAATTTGACCATTCGATCCGATCATCTACAATACAGATATTTGTATCCGAGATAGTTAATCCATGTGACGTATGAATCGTTATAGCGTATCCTAATGTCCACGGTGATTTTACCATACGCAGTGCGCTCTCAACAATATCAACATCAACCAAAATAATATTATTCAGTGAAAGATTTTGTATTCCACCACCAGTAATTACAATTTCAATATTCTGTCGTCGAGTGTCTGCTGGGCAATAACACAAAGGTACAGGTAGATTTGAAAACTTTTCTTTATGTAATGTAAATAATTTCTCTTGCAGTTCATCACGAACTATTTTTCTACTTGCGACTATCAAATCTGAAGGCATCCATAAATTTTTAAAAAAATCATTCATTGTAGTTTCTGGAATTACTTTAAGCATTATTTCACATTGTATTTTATCTGACTGTAGTCTGATTCTTTTAAGTTCTTTCAACAGTTCATCAGTAGCTCTATGGTCATCAAAATTTCATCAGCAAACGTATATCGCGTTAGTAATATTGTAACCCAACATTTGTCTGAAAAATGTCTTTCAAACCAAACATAAGTAATATGATGGAGATCTTCTGTAAACTCAAATTCAGTAATTGTCTAACTTTGACATTGTCAATAAAAGTATATTTCAGCCCAAGATGTTCCATTTATTTATGAAGAAATTATGTACAATAAATATCACCATTAGGCCGTACAAATTAACCCTAATATTCTGAACTTTGAAATAGCCAGACAGACACAGGTTCACTTTTACTGATATTTCTGAAACAAAAATCAAATATATGACCATCATAAAATTTAACCATTCTGTCTCGTGAAAATATTACAGCATTAGTCCATGCATATGCGTTATGATAAGTAATATCTATCAAAGCTCCTCTTGATTCATATTTTGATATATACAAAATGTCTCCAGTGAACGTCTTCACTGTTATTGGAAATTTCAATAGCTTTCACAGCTCAGCAACATCTTTAATAGATGCTCCAGTATCCCTAACTGTTTCTGCACATGTATTTATTTTTTTTTTCGCCTTAAATCTGTTCAACAAATATCACATATCGCATTTGTGAAATATTCTGTAATACGTTCAGCTACACGGTTTATTTTCGACTCTCACATCAGTTTGAGATACGCAACCTTAGGTTTATCATTAAGCGGATATTTTGCATAGACAACATAAATTACTAGGTACCCTCGTTCATAATACGGTTTATCAATACCAGTCAGTATTTCAGGTTTGAATTTATTATTTAAGAGAACAATATTTTTTCCGGTTGTATATGGACAGGATCATTCTTATCACGAATAATATAAATATCATCATCTGTCCTTACAATAAATTTTATTAAAATGAAATATGTTTGATTATCAAGGTGGTTATTAAAGTCGAATACTTGCAACAACAGTAACAGTTGTAATAGCTGTATTATCACTAGGAATGTACAATGTCTGATGTCTTTGATTAGAAGAGAAACAACACCAGTTGACTGAATTATGTCACATGCATGGTGATTCCAATCAGTTTAAATCAGGTCCTTGCCTATATAATAGAGGGATAGTGGCCCATTGTGTCACCTGTCCTCAATATAAACAATTAAAACGCTCCGGTGGACTAGTGGTTAGAGCGTCCGCCTCAGATGCTGGAGGTCGTGGGTAGATGCTGGAGGTCGTGGGTTCGATCCCCGATCGAGTCATACCAAAGAATTATAAAAAGTGTACTAACAGCATCCTCTCTCTCTGCGCTCAGCATTAAGAGGTCTGTGTTAGGACTGGTCGGCCTGATGTCAGAATAATGTTACTGGGTGGAACATTATGCTACATATCTGCGGCATTATGCCCCAGTGCTAGGCACTATAAACTGCCACATTGCAGACATCGTAGCGATATGACTGAAAAATTGTTAAAAACTACGTCAAAAATCATAATCACACCTTACAATAACACTTAAAAAATGGGAAAAACCTAGAGATACTGACAATCATTTGGATTAATTAAGACTTCCTTGTAGATAGCAAGGCATCATGGGCCATATCTGCGCTTAAAATCAACTATATAAATATAAGAATCTATGTGGAGAAGCAAGGAAGCTCGAAGCGTATCTTAGTCTCGGACCGGCAGTGAGAAGTTTACAGTTTACAGAGAAAAATTGTGAAGAGGCGTGGTATGTGATTAATAAAGACAAGACTGATAGCCCTCTTCAAGAGATCTGCTCCAACTGTTCCAACTTATTTGACAATGCTGCTTTTGTGTTGGAACATATACACGAGTTTTTCTGAGTAATACCGCTTGATCTCGGGGTCATCCAATAGTTTGGAACGAATTTAATCGCAATTATTCTGATGAAAGGTCTGTGAGAGTGTGGTGGATTTTGCTAAGATTAGAGTAAGAAGACAGGTGGCTGTTTGGGTGGATGTAAGAGTCGATATCCAAGGTCAGAAACGAGGGAAGAGACGTGGACTACACATTGTATACGTTTATAGTGACGTCACCAGTTTGTGAGGCGGTGCAGTGCCGAAAGGACCCTTTCAGGCATCAGTACACAATTAATAAAATCCGGTTCAGTACCCACGAATGTAGTCCCAGTCTATTTTAGATCACGTTTTCCTATCTGAGTTTGGTGGTGATACTAGAGCTAGATTTTGGTATTCTTGGTAAGGATTTAAAGGCAATTGTTTATTCTTTAAAATGTGAGCTTATGGTGTGGTTGTCTGTGTGTATTTCGGCGACAGTGCACATTGAGTAATAAGGTCATGGTGATGATCCGGAAGTGAAATCTGTGTTCCGTTGCCTGGTGTTTTGTTTACAATTCAGCCTCTCAAAAAAAATGCAGGTCAACCCTTGACAAGAACTTCACCTTAAAGTCATCTTTGAAGGTATTTTAGATTAACATGATTTGTATTGAATGTCACACAGTGGAAAGTTCAGTACTGAGAAACAAATGTAGAGACAATATAGTAAAATTGTGTTCTATTGCCAGGTGACAGAAAGTACCGGAAGTGTTAGAAGAACGGCTCTTGAAGTGCCTGGATATGTTGTCAAGAATGTCTGAAATGCCAAAGAGAAACAAGAGGCGGTTTTGGATTAACATATGAGTAACACAGAGACAACGCTTAAGACCTTTAATTTAATATGCTGGAATAATAATTGACATCTGTTAATAGGTCACAAAACGTCATTGAGTGTATTTGTTCAAAAAGAAATTGCGATTGAGAAATTGTAGATAAAAGATATTGAACACATTTGCTATATTAAATTGTTATAGTTTGCACCTTGCTTTATTATAGACCTAGACCGTCGCCATTTCTAACTTTGGGGTCGGAGCTATTTAAATTTTAATTGTCCACCTTCTCCTGTATTAGAAATAATACCTTATGAAGCGCGTTACAATATATTTAAGCTTTTAAGGGTATCTACGACAGTTTCTCAATCTTTCTTGAATGGATTCTTTAATTTGAGGTTAGGTGTTTTGACATCAAAGTATCCACGGGAAATCTTCCTTAGTGCAAATAGGCAAGTTTGTCACAGTGCTTGTTTAGGTCATATATAGCATCTATGTCAACACGTTGACATTATGGATATCACTTGATGCTTTATAAGCAAACTCGAATTGGCAACGGGCAGCACAGATACGAATGACACGTGCTTCTCCAGGCATTGGTTGTTTGTTTTAATCAAGTCGTACATCTAGCAGTGTACCAGACCCGAAGTAATTGTTTCCACGGATGTGCTTTTTTGCCTGGATATATTCTCAACTGTGCTTGAACCCGCGTTAGGTTTTGCAGAAGGTGTTACATGCGGCATTGCACACAATATGAGGACACGATTGCAATCTACAACATATTGTATTTAATATGAAATTTACGATAAAGAAATGAGGACACGCTTGTAATCTAATGTATTTAATAAAGGAAAGTACTTTTCTTATTATTTATTTCTCTGAATAGTACGGTGACATTTCTCCAAACCCAACTGTTGTTAAATTTGACTTTGAGAAAGTTAATGTGCAATAGAGTATACAAAAATGCGCCATCGGCTGACGATCAACCGTCTTATGATGAACTGAAAGATTTAAAGGATGCGCTTCACTTGTCACCAAGAAGGATGGTCCCACAAACATTCACTCGTCATGGTGTGCTATTGATTACTCAATGGATAAGTTTCCATAATATGCTTGTGGAAGTTACAAACAACCCACGTCATTTCCTCACTATAGACTTGACGTGAGGATCACGCAAGTATCCGAGCTGGTTTAGACGCTAAAAATGAAACGATTATGATAAATATGTCAAAACCAAGCAATGATCCCAAAGCAGGGCATGGGAAGCGACACTGTGAAGCTGTATATGAACACCTGGAACAGATCCGTAATGTTAAATTCTGAGAAATTCTTCGCGAAACCAATGCTGAAGTTGAGCGTGTCGTTGTCAATACAACTCAAAGTTACCTAGACAATTAAAATATCATCAACAAAACCAGACTTTGATTTGACGTTTGCTCCACCAGTGTCTACGCATGTATTAAAGTTGGCCTAATCATTAATTTAATATTGTATTTTACGCATGAAAGATCACTGCCTTGGGATAGTATTGAGGTATTTCATTGCAATTATCTTATTGTCAGCCGCACCAAGTTGTGCATAGCTTACTGCTTGCAAGTTATTTATGTTAGCAGGAGGGTATTTAGTTTCTATATTTAGTAAAATTGTTTTACTTATATTACTTTTTCTGATCGTCTTTCCACGTGTCGATGATAAATAAATATTGCTATCCGCAATAAGGTGGGCAAAACTTACTGCATGTGAGTAATTTTCATTCATTGGTGGATATGTTGTCTCAAGATTTAGCACTCGCTGACTTTACATATTTAAGTTTTCTGCAATTGTATCTCCAGACTTCGTTAGATAGTTTATTAGATCTGTGCGAGCCGTGATGGTTGTAGTTGCTGCCTTTGTTTGCATTTTGAGCTGTCAATTAACGTACCAGTTTTGTATAATAGCTCATTCTTATTATTACCACGTGATCCAAATTTGTGAATACCTGGTATAGAATGAGCATAATCAACCCTGACACGGAGCGATTAACAAAACATCAACATAAGCACGACCTACCGGACTGTCATAATCTGATAGTAGGACGAACTAGATCAGGTAAAACGAACCTTCTGATGAATTTATTACTTAACGATCTCTTCAACTACGGTCTAATTTATATCTACACAATCAATCCACAGCAGGATAAATAAGAGTTGCTTAGCAAATACAACGAAAAGCTAAAAAAAATGAACTTGGCGCCAGCGATCACAAAACAACCCGAAATTTTAATTCCTGTTGCTGATCTAGATTCTGAGAAGCATAAAATAATTGTCTTTGATGACATTTTGCTAAGCAGAGCAGAGATGGATAAGATACAATCTTATTTTTCATTATCCTACAAATAGAACATGTAATGCAGTCTATTTGGCACAGGAGTTTTATAACATGGGTCGATTTATCCGGCAAAATACAGGTTGTTTCATATTATTTGCTGTACTAAATAACATTGACGTACAAAACAGTTTACGAGGACAATGCGGAATGTATTAAAAGATACATTTTTTAGCTTTATCATAATGCTACTGGTAATGGCAAACACACCTATTACTTTTTGGACAAGCTAGCAAGAGATCGAAGTCGTATTTTCAGATATGGAATGGACAGGTTTTTGGACTTTGAACATTAATCTAACAGATGCTTATAAAAATGAAAGGCAAACGAATAGAGGTTTTAAAGAAATTTGTTGCAACAAGGGCCGAGATCAGGAGGAAGGTTGAGCAGGAACGTTTAGGTTCACAGCAAACAGCAGAAGTAACTGCTAGACTTTTTAGATCAGAGACTGAGGATGTTCTTGACAAACAACCACATATTTCTGTGGTAATAAGAAGAGTATGCCAAAAATTTATCTGAGAAATAATTACTTGGTCTAGTTGAAGAGGGACAAAAGACAGATGCCAAAGACATCTTTGCAAAACCTTCTTCTGAACTTGAAGAGATAAAGAAACCAGCAATAAATTCTAATGATAGATAAAAACGAACTGAGTTTGTCACATCATGACAAGCTCAACTTGCATACAAAATTATGAATATAAATGATGCTATCAAATGATCCTGACAAATTTTTTTTTATGTGCAGTACATATAAGAGAAATCATCTAATCATTTAAAGTTAAAAATTCCAGATACTTTAAACCTTTCAAGAAAGTAGAAATATAAAAAGCTAGTTGACAAAAGTGAGAGAGTAAATTTGATTTTAGTGAACTGTTCAATTGCAGCGGATCATATACGGGGTGATAGTAAAGGTCAAACTATTCTTTTTTCGCCTGACGTATCACCAGGTTCATTAATGCAAGTAAATCCAAGGCAGATAATCTGCTAACCAGTTAGTGTTCAAAATCAAATATTTTCTATCACGATGACACTGAATGATCAATCCGGCCGACAGCTAGCTCTCAATAACAAAATTGTAACATATCTGCGCTTGAGGTCAGTTAACTAGCCATGTCACGGAATAAGACTATAAATAGCTTGGTTTTGCATCGAATCTATTTTTCACCTTGATTAGTTGTACAGGCATACAACGTTACCTGAGGTGAATCACTCTGCTCCAGGTAAAGTGATTTCGAAATTGCATGCAGGCTGAAAATCACTGGAAAGCATGGC